TCTTAGAGTTTGTTACTTGTGGCAAGTCACTTTTTCCCTATAAATAGAGGAGTTCTATTACATTGTAATTGACTCCAAATCAATAAGAATTCTCTCTCTCTTTCTTTGCAATATTCTTCTTTATTGTTTTATAACAAAATAGGTATTATTATATAAGATCCTACAAACCCATCAAATACTTTTGAAACACCATCTTTGAAAAATAATAATCCAATAATTGATAAATTGAAATAAAGATGCTCTGATTGTTCTTTCCTGAAGTCATATTGAAATAAGGTATCTAAGGGCAACATTGCAAGGCATCAACTAATAGGGTCATAGTGTCACAATGTCGACCAATTTTTTCTTAATTTCTTTTTCTTTTTTTCCCCCAACTTGTGGATGCATATTAAATATCACATGAGGTTCACGATAATTGAAAAAAGATTTTCAAAACCCCCCCCCCCCCCCCCCCAACTAAAAAAAAAAAAGGAAGCCATAGAAGTTTAATATCCTACCATGATATCACGATGGAAAATTTAGAACTGCAACGGAATTTTGCCGACAGAAATTAAATTGCTTTTTATTCTTCTTTGTAGTCATCTCTAGGGTTGTCAATGGTTCAGTTCGGCAGGTTATTTTATAAAATTTGTATCATATCAATTTTTCGGTTATTATGTTATGTATAATCAAAATTAGACTTTTCGAAACCATCCCAATCATAACGGTTTCTCTTCGGTATCGGTACGGTTCGGTAAATTTTCGATAATTTTTTTAACGTTATGTAAAAATCACTAGTAGAAATAGAATGCAATAATATACGTACTTTTATAGGACTTAGCAACTCTCTAGACATTTTTACAGTTTAAAAGGTGATGAATTTAGAAAATATGAAAGATGGCTAGAGTATAGATCCATCAACTATTTTACATCAGCGTAAAAGAAACTAAGCAAATACAAAAACAATATAAATCACATGAGTTAAAAAATATAAACTATGCTGGGATTCAAGAATAACGTCTATAGAAGATTAAATATTCAAAAAGATAAATCAAAATCATATGGAAAAACATTATATACATTGTAGTTTGTTACTCATAATCACTACAATACCTTGTTTCTTGCTAGTAAACATGCTGGAAATAATTTAGTTTCAATAGGAGTAGCATAATAGGTTTGGGAGAGCTCATTCTTTAAAAAAAACGAATAAAAAAAAATAGGTTTGGGAATTAGGATTTTGAGTTTAGTTACTTGTTACCTGTTTCATAATTCTAAGGCCCAAGAAAAAATTTAACGCTTTATTATTTTTTAACTTAATATATAAATATATTGTTCATATTGTAAATTTATTCGGTACGGTTCGATATTTTTTCGGTTTATTTTCATAAAATAAAAAACCTATCCTAATTATCTGTATGATTATTGATTTATATGAAAACTTACGGTTTTATTAAAAGAAACCTAAAATTCGGTTCGCGGTACGATTTGATCGGTTTTAATTTGTCGATTTTTAAATATTCATTGACACCCCCTAGTCATCTCGAGTACCTTTATTTAACTACTTTTTGTTCTTTTATATTTTCTGTCGTGCCATGTGATCACTACATATTAGTTTGTGATATGATACATAATAGAATACGCAGTTTACGTATTTGAGCAATTTTAAGCCTTTAAAATTTACATGGTTATTTTATTTCGCAGGGGAAGATTCTTGTGAGGAGGGGGAAATTTCAAAAAAGATCTTGATGTGGTTATTAAAAATTCTTTATTTAAGGTGGAGACAATGGCAGTAATGAGATACAGTCCACGCGTTATGCATTTCTCATATATTCAATATTTTTATACATTGTTCATTTGATGAGTTCTTAAATGAACAAGGTATACAAAATTGAAGATAGTCATACTGGTTTAGTCACGACCCCAATCCTGGTCATGATGGCGCCCAACACTGATGCTAGGCAAGCCCGACCAATTAAATATTCTCAACCCAAATACGTAATCCGTTAACAAATAATACGATTAAAATAGCAAATGTCAAGGTTCCAACCCGAATCTAAATAAAATAATACGAAAAATAATAACGAATATTCCAAACATTCCCCAATAGATCTGGAGTCACGAGTCTAGAGCCTCTAGATGTAATAGAGTAATATATATATCCATAGTGATAAGGAAGTCTAGAATATGGAAAAAAATAAATGAAATAAAGGAGAGGAGTCGGGTCCCGCGGACGTCGGGCAGCTACCTCGACAACTCCTGAAGATAAAATCCAAGAAGACAGCAAACAGCTCGACTAAGTCTCCGGAGCACCTGAATCTGCACACATGGTGCAGGGAGTAAAGTGAGTACTTCCAACTCAGTGAGTAATAAACATATATAATGGCTGAAAGTAAGAAATTCCAAAATATTACAATATAAAGCTATGATCAGCGATTCAGCACATAAAATGGTGGAACAACAACAATACCAGGACAAGTAAGACAAATAGGTATAAATGCATGAATGCAATGCAATGCACATGACCGCTGCGGCGCGCAGCCCGATCCATTTGGGTACCCGCGCTCACTGTGGGGGTTCAGACTCCGGAGGGGCTCCTACAGCCCAAGCGCAATATCATCGTAGCATTCGCTGCGGCGTGCAGCCCGATCCACACTCAGTCCATATATATATATATATATATATATATATATATATATATATATATATATATGCATGCAAGCCACGTCGGGCACAGTCAGTACTTATTCTATTTTAGTTACTAATTACGTTAGGTAATTATAGAGCGTTAAAGTCGTTTTTAAAACCTTTAATTTTAT